GAAGGCTTTGCTCGTCGAAGAAAAAATCAACCAACTCTTGTCGAAGCCACTCCACGGTCAGTTTTATAAACGGACTTTTAACAATTATGATGATAGAAAACTGACTTTTGGAAGGGTACAAAGCTCTAGGCTTAAAGGAAAGACAGTTTTATTACGGCAGCTCAAGATCAGGCACTGAACACTCGCTATCATCAGAGGAATATCCTCAAGACGGATGTGGATGGCAATTGCAAATTGTGTCACCAACAAGAGGAGAATATCAGCCATATTGTTGCTGGATGCTCTATGCTAGCACCGAAAAAATATTCGCATTGGCACAATAGAACAGCTAGCTACCTGCACTGGTCACTTCGTCAGGAGCTTGGCCTACCAGTGCCTGATCACTGGTACGATCACCAGCCTGAAAAAGTTCTGGAGACGGAGAACATCACCATCATGTATAACATGGCTGTTAACACCGATTGTACCATTGGAGCAAACCGGCCAGACATCATCCTCCATGATCGGAGCGAGAAGCGATGTTTTCTCATTGATGTAGCTGTTCAAGATTATGCGAATGTCTGTTTTAAGGAGGTAATAAAATTAAGCAAATACAAGGGCCTTGAGATTAGGATATTGCGCATGTGGATCACAAGGTCACGTGTGATCCCAGTCGTAGTCGGAGCTCTTGGAACTACTTGACTCGCATTTCAAAAGTTCCTCGGTGAGCTGCCAGTCAAAGTGAGTGCTCAGGTGCAGAAAATTGCTCTCCTCAGAACAGCCCACATACTCCACAAAGTCCCGACCATCGGACAATAGCAGGACCTGAGGAATCCAGTGGATCCCTGGTCGATAGCAACCAGCAGAAAAGTTGAGAAGATAAAACTTTTTGAATAATAATAATCTCTTACACTTATTAGGGTGGAGTGGTGGCTCTGTGGCTAAGGATCTGCACCGCTGGCTGGAAAGTTGCCCGTTCAAATCCCGTGTCTGGCAGAGAAATCCTACTCCATTGGGCCCCTGAGCAAGGCCCTTAACCCCAACTGCTCCAGGGGTGCTGTACAATGGCTGACCCTGAACTCTGACCCCAGGCTTCTCTCCCCAGCTGTATGTCTCATAGAGAGCAAGCTGGGGTATGTGAAAAGACAAATTCCTAATGCAAGAAATTGAATATGGCTTATAAAGTGGTCTTAATCCTAATCTCTTAATATACTGTAGCACTTTTCTGGATACACCATTCAAAGCGCTTTACAGGTTATTGGGATCCCGTCCACCACTACCAGTGTGTAGCCCCAAAAGACAGTACACTTACCACACACCTGAAATACCTAAATATAAGTTTTGCAAGTCTATGAGGTCCTAAGAGCCACTGTCAATACGCACCCACAAAAGGTAATGTGTAATTACTACAAGAACACTCTAGATGGAGACTTCTGCAGAAGCTGCATGAGATTCAAAGGCTTTTTAAAGAAAACGAAATAAAGACCACAAGGTGTCAGTGTTTTACCGCTCATCTGTTTTTATTAACACTATTAAGTAATTAAAACGCTTACTACCGTTCAGAAGACAGACCCAAGCCTAACTGAAAGCAACACATGGATTCTGGGACAACGGGACTCTTATTCTCCTGAAGTTATCGAATCTTACAGTCTGGAGTATGCCATCGAAGGTATTTGTTAGCTGACTGTTTATAGTGCTCATCTGTTTTCATTTGATAATGAGTAGCATGCACCAGTACACTTCTGCCAAACTTTTCTTGCTAAACAGTAAGGAATTTCTTGACTGAGAGGCTTAACAGTAAACACAGAAAGCCTTCTTATAGCTACTCTGCAGGCCTTCTTATAGATGCAATTTAGAAATCTTATTTAACCTATTTTTTATCTATAATACCAGCAGTAAAGACCTCATTCTGTGTTTGCCTGACTCGAATGTATAGTACAAAGCTTGTCAGCAATGGCAGACACATAACATTTTTTTTTAAAAGTGTTTCATCATGTGAAGCAAATCTTTTTTGTATTCTCTATTTTGTATTTCTCTTGTGTCTGTAATGATCCGTGACTCTTTAAAGGCAGCCTTTATCTGTCAAGCCAATTGTTTTCTTCAGAAATAGGTTTAAATTCACTACTAGACATTGCAACAATAGAATTTGAACCTGTTGTGGTAAACTTTTCTTCTCTTGCAATAACTATTTTAGCTTATAATATCGTGTTGTATCCAATATACACTAAGCAAATACTAAACAGACCTGTTTTTTGCAAAATATAGTAGTATCTAACTTATTCAGGTTCTATATTTCTGATAAACTTGAAAATAATAACCTAAAGGCATTCATGTAAAAATCACAAATCTCTGCCATTTAGACTCCAAATTATACATTTTTTTAAAAGAACACAGAGCACCTGCTTTTAATTTTTTTTTTGTGCTGATAAATATAAATGACATCATTCCTTTTTGGGTCAGCACACACCTTGCAAAGGATAGGGCCTGATAAACATCTCGATGCAGTGCACCATTTAAAACAAACAAGAGTCCTCTTCATATCCCCTGTGCCAGCAATGCTGACCTGCATAATTCCCAAGGCATCTCAGGGGAGATTCCACAAGGTATTCAAAATCAAATACCATCATTCAGATGTCCAGACATCAGCAGGAGGCTTTGTGTGTTATTCCTTCTCCTGCAGTCAGACAGGCTTGCTGAGACATGGTTGGCAGGGAGTGTTTTGGAATCCATTTCTGTGACGATGCTTCTGAGAATGCTGCTGTCCTTGCTGGAAGAATAAGCTCAAACAGTAAAATCAAAGGTAGACAAGTGAGGAGCCTGAATGCTTCTAAACTGCAGAGCCTCATGGGCTGTGTGCTTAATTATCCAGACGTCATAATCCAAACAAATCTTTACATTCCTACCCATTTCTATTTTGAAAATGGGAGTCTTTTTATTAAGTTAATGTTTTTGCGTTTGAGCAGTAAAGGTGTCCCATGCAGAGCACGAATGGTCATTTAACAGATCACTCTTCACTCAGTGAGCAGGAGCAGGGTGACCTCTTGTTGTGAAGTGGGGGTCTGCACCCTTCTGTATTCAACACTAATTAACCTCATACTGTATTATGCTTTTCACGCTGCCTTGTCCAAAGAAAGCAGCTTTCCAAGTAATACCACCGTCACTGATTAAAACACCTAAGCAATCTATTCCTATGTGTGACCTCTATCGCACATGACCAGTCAGCACTCAGATTCGAGAAGGAAAGCACGTGCTGAAAGGGCATTTAAATAAGAACTTGTGGACAAGTGGCTCTAATCAACTGTGTGCAAGTTGCCTTCCCAGCACTTCCCCCCTCTCATCAACAGAAATTCCAGGTGCTGTTGATAGAATAAGATCTAGACTCCAAAGAAAGAAGTTCAGAAG